TTAGAAGACGATATTAGTGCCTGTCGAGGGCGCTGTTCTCAGTTAGAAGCCCAGTTGGAGGAAGCATGTGGTCAACTGGAAGAGAGCATCTCCTTCCTGGAGTCTCAGGAGATCCAGAACAAACGCCTGTCATCAGAGAAGAGCGCGGCCGAGACTGAGCTTCAGCTCGTGAGAGACAGAGAGGAGCAGCTCGTAGGGCAGGTGACCCGACTGAAGGAGGAGCTCGGGGATGTTCAGGTGCTCTCTGATGGCATCCTGCAAGATAGAGAGCTAGTGGCAAACAGATGCAGGGACATCTCCAATGCCTTTGCTCAGCAGCAGGCCCAGCTCCAAGCCCGAGACCAGACCATCAGTGCTCTAAAAATGGAGCTGGAGCGCCTGCAGGAGACCACCAGGACCAGAAGTACTGAACTGGATTCATTAAAAGCTGACCGTGCACGGCTGATCCAAGACCTAAAAGAGCAGGCGATGGCTGTGGACAAGCTGCAGCTGCAGCTGGACGAGGTCACAGAGGAGCTAGGACGGAGGCGAAGCAACGAGGAGGCCTTATGCGAGACACTCCAGGAGCAGAGGAACCAAACATCTCAACTCCAGTCTGGCCTAAAGGATCAGGACGAGGAGCTGCTGTGTCTCAGGCAGGAGAACTGCAGCTACACCCGGCTGGCAGACCAGCTCTCGACTCAGATCGTAGAGATGGAGGAGGAGATCACTTCACTGCGGGAACAGCTGCGAGGCCTGAGCGAGCAGCTTAATGACACGGCAGACCTGGTTGTAAACCTCAGGACGCAGCTCAATGCCAGAACCAGTGAAAGACAGCATCTGCGGGCGGACTCGGTCTCTGAGGTGGAGCGTCTGCAACAGGCACTGCAGGGTGTTGAGGACCAGCACAGGAGAACAAAGGATGACTTTGAAGAGCAGAAAAAGAAGATGGGGCAGCAGTTGATGGAGTTGGAGACACTGGTGCTGGCTCTAGAGGGCGCCACACAACCAGAGAGTTTACACAGGTTTGTGAAGCATGAGTCCAAGTCAGGAACTAAACCAGGACTAACCACCGCCTGCTGTGATTCTGAAATTTTGGGCCCATTGGCCGCAATACACATCTGCAGTCTGAATGCCTTAACCCTTCGCATCATCTCCAACTGACCCAAATCTAAAACGCATGAGACACTCATTGTGACATCGTTGTTACATCATCATCTTATCCCGCCTTCGCCGCCGATTACATTTCACTTTTTAAAATGTTAGCCAAAGAATGCTTATTAAGATTAAATGCGCAGTGAAGCTGAATTGACATGACTTCTGTGAGCGCCCCCTGCAAGAAAGAAAAACACACTGCAATCTAGTGTTACAGTGTTAACATGAGAATAATATCAGTGCAGAGATGGTGGTTAAGGGAGCAGACTGTCTGGAAGGTCAGAGGTTCAAATCCACCTCAGTCCCACTGAGGTGCACCCTGCACACACACTGCCCCCTGATCACTGCATGGTTATGGGTTAAAGGCTGAGGACAAGTTTCATTATGTGCGGTCGTGTGCTCATCAGTGACAATAATTCACTTTACTGCTGCATCCTACATAGAAATGTACACAATCACACCACAAGAGGCAGTAGTAGACCAGTAGATTCCCTGTCCCTCACTTTGCTGCGAGGAGAGTGATACACTCTGTTTACTAAGCCATTATATTGTGGTTTCTAGCAGCAGGGGGCGCTCACGGTATAGTCCCACAGATTAAGAAATAATCATGTGTGGTAGTGTTTTCCGATTCAATAGTTTTTCGATTGTTATTCTGACAGCTGATTGGTGTTTTTTTTGTAAACAATGTCATCACATTTAATGAATCCTTAATCTTCCTAATCGTCTTCCAATGACCTGCTGTTTGCCTTCGATTGGTTCATTTATTTTTGATTATGTAAATGTAGGACACAGCTGGAGGAGCTTCGAGCAGAGAACAGCGCCCTCCAGGAGCGAGTGAAGGTGCTGCAGCAGGACGTTCAGAACCTGGAGGATGATGTCGCCAAGAAAAAGTGAGACTCGGCGTGTGTGCGGCACATGTGTGTTTTTGTGTAGTACATCTTATCACAGCAGACACCAATGCCAGAATATATTTAAAAAGAAATGCTTGTCAGGAGGAAAGTGGAGGAGCTGGAGGGTGAACATGAGCGCAGCAGAGAAGAAGAAGAACGACTCCACAGAGAGGCAAGTGTCTCTCACCTCTGACCTTACTCAGACAGGTGACTGTCCTTCCCTGACCTCTGACCCGTGTGACCTAACCTCTTCATCATCTTTGTGCTGCTGCAGAACTGCAGGTACAGGGAGGAGGTCCTGGAACTGAGCAGCAGGAACCTGCAGCTGAGCAATGACAACGCTGAGCTGAGTGCTCGTCTTCGCGGAGACGAAGAGTCGCTAAGGATGCTGCAGCAGCGCCTGGCAACTGTCTCGGAGAAGACTGAGGAGGGGGAGGCTTTGGTGAGAGATGCTGTGGCAGTGATGACGTTACTGTCCCGTCTGTAACTAAAGGTTACAGAAAGTGCCCTCATGTCCCCATGAGTGCATCTGTTAGAGTTTATTTGTTAGACTTCATAGTTTCTTTGTGAGAAAAACAAAGCTGTTTTCTTTTGCAGGTGCGTCGTTTGCAGACTACAGCAACGCAGCAGGAGAGAGAAAAGGTGCAGCAGCAGGTAGCCTGGACTCAGGAGCGCCACCTTCTGGAGGATGAGCTCAAAGTCTGCAAACAAAAGGTGTTAGGATTGTCCCTTTAATGTGTACCATTGGTAATGTACTGAGGCTTGCTCCTAACTGTATCTGATTGGTCAGCTGGGGCACCTGTCGGATCTAGAAGCGGAGCTTAGTGCTACAACTCTGAAGCTGCAGTGGATGGACGAGGACAAAAAGAAACTGCTGCGGGAAACTGAAAATCACAAGCAGGAGGTGAGTTTCATAAGAGCTGAAACCCAAATAGCAGACCTGAAACTAATCCTAGTTACTCACCGCCAATGATTTTGATTTCCAGCTGGAGGCGCTGCAGCACTCTATTGTCTCCCTTCAGTCAGAGGCAGAGCTTTTTCGCTCTCGGCTTCAGGCAGCCAATAAAGAAAAACTCGGCCACATCCAGGAAGTGACAGAGCTGCAGAGGAAACTTGAGGAGACCCACAACAAGGTGTGGACCCTAAACACAGATCGTTTTGACCTCTGTTCATCCGCCTCATCAATGCAGCTACTTCCATCTGACCTGTATTCTCCTCAGGTGGAGAGGCTGGAGCTAAGTGTGCAGCGACTGCGTCAGGAGAAGGAGGAGCAGTGTCGGGTCATGGCGGTGCAAGAACAGCAGGCATCTGTCACTCTGCGGGAGGAGACGCAGAGATTGAGTATACAGAACCAGGAGCTCCTTCACCAGGTAACTTCTTTTTCCCCCAACTCCTAAACCTTCCCTCCTGTTTATCCTCTGAACACGAATCCTGCCGTTTCCAGCTGGCCAGTCTGCAGGCCAAACAACAAGAGGCACAGAACCTGAACCACGAGCAGCAGAACCTGAAGACCAGGCTGAGTGAGCTGGAGACAGAGAGGACAAAGGCAAATGAGCAGGTACCACAATAAGTTGTACAAGTATTCTTAAAGATTCAATAGGATCTTCCACCATGAGAATTGTTGACTTCATCTACCTTTAAAAGCTGCTAATTTCACAGCACTCCTGTATCTCTCTTCCATTCTCCCTGCAGGCGGTGCGGGCAGACGCTGCACTGAGCCTCGTCAGGGTTCTTTTTACCCGACAGCTGCAGGAGCTGCAGGAGCGAGCGAGCAGTGGCAGTGGCAACAGGGAGAGGGAGGAGCAGCTGGAGACATGGCTAAAAGAGGAGCAGAGGCGGAGTCAACAGCTGGAGGAGACGTTGAAGCATCAGACAGGGCTTATCAGCATCAAGCAGGTAATTAGCATTAGCTGAGACAAACTGTCATTAAATGTTATTTTTTGGTAACACAAGGTGGAAGAGCACACCATTTAAAGTGACTCACCTTGACTTTGTCTCGTGTCCAGGAGCAGTATGAGAAGGTGTCTTCATCGCTGCAGCAGAGAACTGAAGACCTGGAGCTGAAACTGAAGGCAGTCCAGACAGTTCTGCAGGAAAACGTCCAGCAGCTCAAAGAGCAGGTGGGTCTTCATTAACACAAATAAACCCTTTAAAGTTAAAATCCTTTGTCACGGGTGTCCCCTTTGTCGTTGTTGTCCACAGCTTGCAAAGAACGCTAAGTCCAACACGCAGTTGAAGGACGTATATGTGGAGAATTCTCAGCTGATAAAGGCGCTGCAGATCACAGAGCAGCGGCAGAAACATGCGGAGAAGAAAAATATCCTGTTGGAGGAGAAGATCGGCGCCCTCCACAGGCTGCTAAGACAAATCGTCCCTGCTGCTCTTGCTACATAGCTGCCGTCACAATCAACTGAAAATGTGTCAGCAGTTGCACTGAGCTCGGAGTCATTGCATCATTTGCAATGAGTTAGATAGTGTTAGCTTGGCACCACACTGACATACAGTGATGCTGTTAGCCTCGAGAAGCATCAAGCTGGATATATTGATAAATATATCAATATATCCAGCTGATATATATATATCAGTGTTACCCCTGGCTTTGCATCAAAACAAGGTGGACACTTTACTCTCAGCTTGGTGTCAACACTGAGGGCAGAAGACTGTTAGTTAGCATCCTCCTGAAATCTCCATTGTGTGGTGGACAGGTGAAGTTAGCGCCACCTACTGAGCCTGCTTTAAAGAAAACAGTGATGGTATTTTTATGTATTTTAATATTTTTATTTACGTCTGTGTCAAAGTTTATTTTTGCGATGGTGAAGTCAGGGTCAGAGGTTGTGTGTGTCAGCCACTGCTCTGATCACATGACCTGTTACTGTTGGAGACAGAAAGATGTCCTTTCTGTTCGCTTTTTTTTCCCCATTCTGTTTAGGTACAACAAACCAAAAGGACCATGATGTCATTTTTTCCACACTTGTGTATTCAGTATTCAGTATTTTATTTCTGTCAAGTACTTCCTGTTTATATCATGTGAATCCACAAAGACAAATAAACTATTTTACTGTAATTTTATTTAGAAAAACAGATATCTCACTAACGGTGTCATCCGTACAGCTCACTAGTTTCTCCCCGTCTCAAGACAGGACATGCTCCAGGACGCCCTGACGAATCAGCTGCTCACATTTCCACCGAGGCAGGAAGTGCTGAGGAAGCAGAGATGCCATGAGTATTTATTTACAAATCACTGAACTCAATGAATCCAAGAAGGTGTTGGAATGAGGCTGGATTTAAATGTTATGAAATTTAGAAGAGCAAACCACCTCTGGGTTTCCCCACTTCTATTCACTTAGACAATTATACAACTGTTTTGGTGGGACCTATACCCTTCAGTTTCTTTGGCTGACCATGGCAAAATTAGGTCAAATATACCCAAGACTCCTTGCATGTTATAGCTTTAAAAAATTATATTGACTTCTATAACCAGTTAGTAGAGTACCTGACTGTTCTTCTTTAGCAGAATCACCGTCCCATCATCGATCTCAAACTCCCCGTGGTCTTTTAAACACCGCACCTGCAAAACACAACACACACACACACAGTGGCACAGCAGTCAGTGCTACAGGTCAAATGATACCAGTGAAGCTGAGATCACATGACGGCAGTGGGGGGCGACCGACCTCGATGTAGAGACTCTTTGGAGGCTTCATGTCCTGAGTGATGTCAAGACCTTCATCTCCGCCCACAGACCTCATGAAGGAGGCCAGAGACTTTTTATACTGATTGAACCACTGCAGCTGTGATGGGAGAGAAAGGATCACATGACTCACAGGTAGCCTCAGTGCTGCTGTGAAGCACAGAAACACACACTCACCTCCTCTGCACACATGTGGAAGCGCACATTAGCAGGAAGCACACTGCCATACTCCCACCTCAGAGCTCTGATCCGCAACAGCCGATCGTACCTGCAGTGACATCACTTCCTGCTTCATCAAAAACTCAAACTCATATGTTTAGAATGTATCCACTGCTTTATCTCAGTGTTTACCTGGAAACTGAACAATTAAACCAATGCCACGTCAGAGTTTTTTCTTTAAGTCGTTGCCACTCTGGCCTCCATCAGTATATTAAATTTGTTAATTGTGACTTTGGTGTTGTTCAGATTCACCTCAGAGACACCAACTGAACACAAGATGGTACCGTTCTTGTGACCAAAGATTACTGTTTTTTTTTTACTTTGGTGACCAGAAGTGAATGACATACAAATTTCAGAACCAGCTTATTAGATTACTGTCCAAATAGCACAAGTATGTATGTGTGTGTGTATGTGTGTGTGTAGGTGTTTACAGGTAGGCAGTTGTGCAGCGCTGGTTCCTCAGCAAGCAGCAGTGACGCAGTTTAATAGAAGGAATGAGTTCAGTTCGTCCCTCAGACTTGGCCTGTTGACTGAAACACAGGAAAACAGCTCCATTAGCCCTCACACATCACAGGTAAAACGGCTGATTAATGGAGAAAATCAGGAGTAGATCTTAAATATGTTTAAAGATGGATTCACGTCCACAACATTAAGGTTTGACACCAAAGTACACAGTGATTTCAGTTCACTAAGACACAGACTTTGCGACCTTAAACACTGATTGTATCACAGAGACAAACGTGTAACAACGTATGTATCATTTTCATTCTCATTTTCAGATGGACAAACAATAACAAACCAGGTAAACTGTAAACTGTCCATATAAATACAACAAATGACTCAGACACACCGTTAAAACACAGCAAACAAGTCACTCGCTGTACAAATATTAGTGTGGGAGAAGTAGGGGTGAGGAAAGCTGCTGGTTCTGCAGATCATTCACAGATATCTTTGTGGGAGGGTGAGTGGTTTCAGGTGTTCAGTGTTTGTGGCCATAATGTAGCGTTCCCTAAAGCCCCCGGATTTACAATACGTTGCACATTTATCCATCAAGGAGAACAGCATGATTTTTTAATCTAAAATAATAATAATAATAAATAATATAGTTCTTACACGTCAGTCTGGTTCTGTTCGTACAGGGCCTCCATTTCCTGTAACACCTGGCGCAGTCCGTCCTCCTGAAACAAACGAACAAACCCAGAGAGAAAATCCAAATCAAAACACTGCTAATTCAAATACTAGCTTCATGCTAGTATGTGCATTGGAGTTTGGGGGGCGGGGGGGGCAGGGACATTAATCAACATATTACTTCATCTGAGTGAGCATTCACATCAAGGCAACCACGTGATTACGAACTATACCCGATGAATCATTTCGATTAAATTCATTAGTTGTTTATATTGTATGTATTTTCACATGCATGTCTTTTTCTTTGACTAAACCTCCGGTGGTAAACACAAGTCCGTATGTACAGTCCCTTACGTTTAGCTACTCTTCTACAACAGCTTAAAACTCTGAAATACACTTACCGTGTATAATTTGTACACATCATTTATCTTTGTGTTAAAGTAGAACGTGTGGAAAAACTAACAAAAGCCAACAAACATTTTATATATCAAAGGAAGATGTCCAAGACTCACATTGAAAGCGGGCAGCTGTCCATCATTCATACGCTGAAGTTCTCGGATTAACTCCATCGCTTTTTCGCAGAACATTGTGTCGTGAAAAAAACAAACAACAAACTTACTAAAAAAATCTTGATCAGAAAAAAAAATCAGGAAATACGCTGCTGCAAAGAGACGGGGTTTCGCGGGTAAAAAATGTGGAAATTCGAGTTATTATGATCACGTGACAGGCTAAAGTTTATACGGAAGCCACTGTGGGACATGAATCGCCTATAGACGCCACCGCGAACACAACACTGCGAAGTTTTTCCTCCGAACTTGAGCGGATCCAGTGACGAACATGCGGTAAAACCGCTCGAGGTTCCTTAGGCTGACGGAGCGAAAATTTGTTGATAACTTTAGTATGTTAGTATGTTCTGTAAAAACGAACATGTACTAGTTTAAATCGATTTGACCAACCGGACATTTTAGTGTATCGCAGCTATTGGCATACAGGGGGAGCACAAACTCAGCAAATGACTCTGCTTGAGATTTGAGCTCTAATAAAATTATGTTTATTAGAATCGAACAATATTGTTTCTTGTTTGTCACTGTATGGAATGTAGATTAACCAATAGTTCCGCAATTTAATGCTGTCTTTAATTTCCTTGCGAGAAATATAGGGAGAATTGATATAAAAATATGATTCGTATTATATTCATATGATAAATATAAAATTGTATCTAAAATTATATTATTAAACGTAGAAAGACTCTGTTTTACTTTTGTTTTATACAAAAAGAGCCCCAAAAGAAATACACATTTAAAATGTTCTCTTTGTTTTGGTTTTTGTTGCTCCGACACTCTCTGGAGACCATTAACGCAGCACCCTGGTACCATGTGATAAGAATGCTGCGCTGTGATAGGCTGTGCTGAAACAAGTGTGTCAGCTGTTCTCTGCGGGTCTCAGTGCGGATTAGCCAGAGGCACCGCGGGGACTTTGGCTGCTTCAGCCGGCATCTCAAGAACAATTCCCTGCTTCCTCTGCACTCAAACGCCGCTGTCTGGTTTCTCCCACCGCTGCAGGCATGAGAAAGCGGAGCAGCGCAACCCAGACTGCCGAACAGCGCAGCGACACCGACGCCGGCTCTCTGCTGGACAGCGACCCGGAGCTGAAGCAGCGGCCCAGCAGAGGAACAGCGGAACCTCCAGCAGGAGGCTGCCGGGGTCCAGAGGAGCAGCGGGTTATGGGGAAACCGTTCCGTAGGTGAGAACCGGAAACGGGACAAACATGTTGTTTTAGACATAAACATGACAAAATCACAACAACAGGAAATAGATCGATGACGTGTAAAGCTGTCAACAATACTGGTTTTATGTAACTTTCTTATAATTAAACATTTCTAGTTAAATAATAAAGCATCGTAATTTTAAACCAAATTAAAAAAAAAACAACTACTGTAATCAAGAATATTAATTTTTTTTAATTCTATTTTTAAAAAGTAAAAATACATTTAAAAATTCGTTTTCTATCTACATTTATCGATGTTGTATTACAATTATTAATACCTGTTAAACATGTTTGAGTATAACATGAGCTGATGTGACTGCAGTGACTGGTTTAACTCCTTCTACTGTGAAGTCTAAAACAAACACAAACACAAAACTGCACGTGCAGGTTGAGGTGTAACAGGCCTCACTCACGTTGTGAACATAACACTAAAACCAAGTTTAACAGTTAGGTCCCTGGGGTTAGTTATCTGAGATCAGGTTCTTCAGGCTAATCCTGTTCAGAGGTCAGAGGAAGTCTGCCTGTTTGAACGTGAGTGAAAAGGGTCATGTGACTGATTTAAGTTCATTAAACAGATTTCTCCTAAGTCCGGACACAACAACGACGACATGCAGCAGTGTCTGAGACATTTACATGATCCAGATCAGAGGTGAAGAAAGAAGGCTTATAAAAGGTTAGAAAAAAAAAACAAATCTTCCTTTTGTTCATGTGATTAAAGATTAGCACTGATGTGGGTACACACAGCCGGCTGAGCAGGACCCAACCACAAACAATTACACAGTGCTGCTAGCTGAGGCTTTTGCTGTTGTCCGTTTGTTATCTTGTAGCCTTGTTCAAATTTCTGTCATTGACTTCAAGTATCTCTTATTTTTATTTTTTTTGGGTCAACCTAATTTTTTCTGGACTGTTGTTTTTAACAACATTTGTTATTGATCATAGCTTTTCCTTATAACGTAACTAAAGGTCATCTTTTAGCTGTGTCCGCGTTCGTAAGTGTTTGCCTTTTGCAACTTTCAGACCTAGCAGAAAGAAAAGAGAAGTCTGATCTCCCTTTAAATGAGTCAACTTTCACCTTTAATACAAAGACTATGGGGCTTTTTTCTTCAGCATTTATTATCTTTATGAACTATAATAAAGCCTTACCTGCCCCCCCCCCGACCTCACCCTTGCCCGCCTACACATACCTACATGCCTGACTTATTCTGTCAGAAAGACGAGACAGAAAAACATCCTGTCTCTCCTGAAAAGCTGACACCATCCTGAAACCAGGGCACTTTAAAGGGACAGTTCAGGGTGTTGTTGAAGTGCACTTGTACTTTGTTCTGGCACAAAGTCAGTTCCATGAATACTGCTGACTGGGCTCAATGTAGCCACCTGGTATGAGATATAACTGAAAAAAAACATGGCTGCCAGGAGGGAGACAGAATGAAATAATACCACAGTGATTTTGAAGCAGATTCAGCTCAGGTCTGAATTTGAACCCCTTGCCTTTTAGCATCAAAGTCCACAGAGATAATCAGTTTTTTTTCTAGGTCACAAGGACACAGGAAATGCTGCACTTCTGCTTTTGTGTATACTCAGAATGTGTTAGTACTTCAGTAAACCGAAATATAAGATTTCTTATTCGAGGGTCGTGAGATTTCAAAGTTGAACTCACTGATGGAGGCAGCGGTGGGTCAAAGCCCCATACCAGCATATATACAAGCAGGTTGACTGGTAATGAAAACCAGTGGACTGATAAATGAGTATGATGACATTGTTAGTGGTGCTGCAGCTCTGCGCACACACACACACACACACACACACAGGAACCTCGGCCATTCTGCGGCAGCTCATTGTGACCTTGAGCTTTTTCACATACAGTGGGACACGCTGTGTGCTCTACAGAAACATCCAGACACTTTGTATTTTGGTAATGTACTTGGACCCTGATACATTACACACAAAAAATCACCACTTTGATTAATGCAATTTTGCTCACGACAAAATTAGCAAATGAGCAAAATGATCTTTATTGTAATAAAGATTTGCTAAGATCCAGGGTGGAAACTGCTGCTGAATGTGTGGAGTCACCCTGCCATACCATAATAGATAAAGATTTGCTAAGATCCAGGTTAAAGACTAAATGAGAATCAGATGAGCAGGATGATGATGATGATGATGATGCTGATGTTTTGTGATGCAGTCATGTGACCTGAACAGCGCTGATGTAAACCGGGCTGCAGCTCTTACTCTGTTCATATCTATTATTTAAATTCACTTCAGCAAACACTCTGATGGATCCTGTTACTGCAGGGTTAGGGTTAGGGTTACACACACAGACACACACACACACACACACAGAGCGGGGTCATATATCACTTTTACATTCTCAATGACTGAAATAGAGCAGAGAAAATGAAGCTGATTTTATGGGACATTTTTGTTTCCACAACAGACGCAGCCTTGTGTCATTTGTCTGTTGTTTTCTGGAAACATTTTTCTAAGAAAAAATGACATAAATATAACATTGATGGTGATGATGTCATGTGTGGTGATGATGTCACACCTGTGCGCCCTCAGGTTGTCTGTGATGGGGAAGCTGAAGAGGGCTTTCCTGTGGATCTTGGTCTTTTACATCTCCATCCCCTTCATCATCAAACTCTGTCCCTCCATCCAGGCCAAACTGGTCTTCCTCAACTTCGGTGAGTCCCGTGTCCCGACCTTGATCTTAATCCTGATTGTGGCTCAGATTACACCGGAGAATTTGATAGCAATTTAGATGGAGAATCAGATTGACCGGTATAAAGTGGAGCTGAATGCGATTAGTTCCAGAAACTGATCCTGCTCCTGTTCAGTTCATCTGATGGTGAGCCTCAGCTTTAGCCTTCTGACAGTCACACTGTACTTGGAGTTATTGATGAGTTAAACAATGGTCAGTAAATCATGTGACCTTTAACCCTCCTTCCCCCTACAGTGAAATTGCCCTACTTCATTGACTTAAAACGACCTTTTGACCTGGGACTGAATCATACGCACAATTATTACCTGGATCCTGAAGAGGGCGCAAGAGTCGGAGTGTGGTAAAGAAGGAACACAAGCCCATATACACACACACACACCACCTGAGCAGAGCTAAACCCTGAGTGTGTGTTTCAGGCACACGGTCCCTGCTCACATGTGGAAAGAAGCTCAGGACAGAGGCCGAGATTGGTTTGACTCCACTTTTAGCTCCGCCCACCCAGTCATCCTCTACCTACACGGGAACGGAGGCACCAGGTGACACTTGGACACACGTTGACCTTCGGGGAAAGGTCATATAATAAATGTAGTAAATGTAGTTTTCCCTGACCGATGTTGATGTTTCACAGGGGAGGAGACCACAGAGTTCAGCTATACAAGGTACCCCCCCCCCACCCCTCTCCAAACGCACACACACATGCATAGATGGAAAAGGGTCATGTGACTCATCATGTACTGTATCTCTCCCCGTCTTCCTTTAGGTCCTCAGTTCTTCAGGTTACCACGTCGTCACCTTCGACTACAGAGGTGAGAAAACGAGTCTTTAAATCTGTCATGGCCGACTTGCTGTTGTTCAACGTGTGAGTGTTTGTGTGTTACCGTGTGTGTGTGTGTGAAGGTTGGGGAGACTCAGATGGAACTCCCTCAGAGAGTGTGATGACGTCAGACTCTCTGTTCATCTACGACCAACTGAAGCAGCATCTCAACAAAACTCCACTTTACATCTGGGGACACTCACTGGGAACAGGGTAACACACACACACACACGCACACAAACACAAACACACAGAGCTGCACACACCTACAGTTCAGTCACGTCCCATATGATCACCTCACTCAAGTTTCTTAACCTTTTTATATATATTTATATACATGTTATATCAGAAAAATCTCACAGCCAACCACCAAACAAACAAACTCAAACTTGATCTCAGAATCGACTCAGTGTTATATCAGAAAAATCTCACAGCCAAACCCCAAACTCAAACTTGATCTCAGAATCGACTCAGTCAATGTGAAACCTGAGCCTGTTTAGTTGAAAACAACACTAATATCCACAGGAAGATCTTCTTCAACAGTTCTGGCTCTCTTTTTATTTAGTTGTTGAAGGCAACTGCTGCCACCTAGTGGAAGAGTGTTGGATTGTTCTGCCTTTCACTCTCCCGTAGATAAACGTCAACAAATCATTTGCAGCAAATGTATATAAATAAATGTCTCCACTGATTTAGACCACCTCTAACTGAACCCGGACCGGTGACTGATCCGTTATTTCTTGTGTTTTACAGAGTTGCCACAAACCTAGTCAGACGACTGTGTGAGCGAGGTAACCCACATGCACAAACAGTCATACGTGTGAAAGATAGACTGGTTCTGGTTTCCAGACTCTTCTGAAGACCAGTTCTACTCTCAAACATGGCCGCTTCATTGTTTCATTCTCAGGAACACCTCCTGATGCTCTGATCCTAGAGTCTCCGTTCACTAACATCAGAGAGGAGGCCAAGAGTCATCCCTTCTCTATGGTAACACAATCAACGACACACTACCACACACCACTAGTACTAGGAACTAGAGAGAACCAGGAACCACAGGGTCCAGGAACTGAGACCAAGCCTCAGGCTATTTCTTAAGGTTAAACAGCCCTCGCTCCAGGGGTGAAACCAGTATGAAGGTGTGAGGTCACTCACAACCTTCCTGATTGGTTGAAGCACTAAAAGTTCTATATGATATGGTGGAACTGCACCTTTGTTCTACACGGTCCTCAGATGTGTTTGTGTGTGTGTCAGGTTTACAGATTCCTGCCGGGTTTCGATTGGTTCTTCCTGGACGCTATAACAGCAAACAACATTCGATTTGCCAGTGATGAAAAGTGAGTGCTGTGATTTTAAATAAGTAGGTTCTCTCTCTTCCTACATCAGTGTTCTGTCTTAATGTTTCCGCTCAGCGTGAACCACATCTCCTGTCCACTGCTGATCCTCCACGCCGAGGATGACGGCGTGGTTCCATTCCATCTCGGAAAGAAGGTACGGAAAAACAGGGAACGGAAGGAAGACTTCACGTGTACACGAAAGATCTGTGTTTAAAAACACTTCTCTCTCCTTCCCCTGGTCTGCAGCTTTACGACCTGGCTGCCCAGTCCAGCAGCCTTGCCGGTCACAAGGTTCAGTTTGTTCCCTTTCATTCGTCACTAGGATACAGACACAAGTTCATCTACAGGAGCCCTGAGCTGCCAAACATCCTGAGGTACAGACGCGCTAATGGTAGCATGAGAATATTGTGCAGCAGATTTTCCAGATTTATGTTTCATCTAAGACACATTTCACAGACCACAAGTCAAGTAGAAATAAAAAAACATTTGTAATGATGGGACTGATATTTAAACAAATATAAAGAGCAACAAAGTGACAACACAGCATAATAATCTGTGGCTGGGTTTGACACTTATACTCAGGTGTAACATATATTAAACTATATAATTTCACATGTTTATTTTCACATTGACAGCCGCTAGAGGGCACTGGTGCGTCTTATTCTCCAGAGCAACTCATAGTCCAGACGATACAGTGCATTCCTCTGTGGGACTTCTCCCTCTTTAAGGAGAGACGTGACATTTTACCATGTAGTGTTTTATGATGTTTTTGATCCAGTTCTACATTTTGATGTTGACATTTGAATCATAAATATTTATCACATTAATCTAATTTTTAATGTCATGTTTAATGCTGTTCCCTTTTTTTTCAACTTTTCCACAGTGATTTTCTGGGCACAGCGCCTCCTGTGGAACACTGAGAATAAAAAGGGACGATTCTTCCTGAGTCACTTTAATCTGATCTGGACCCAACTCAAATATCATCATTCCAGTTTTTTTTTAAACGTCTGTTACTATTTCATTTTCATTTCCTCCCAGCACAGAGAAATGAACTGAAGAAAATACTGTCAAGGCTCATCATCTTCCTCTTTAACGCAGGCTAACGTGTTTCTTTTAAATGTTTTTGGTTTGTTTTTATTTCCTGGGGAACAATAGTTCATCTTTGACTGTACACTTTTTTAAAAATGCTCTGAGTTTAAAAACCTGTTATGACTTGAATTATAAATGGAATATTCCTTTAACCTGTGTTTTCATTTTTTTTAATTTGTCCCCTGGTTGGACAGATACTGCTACGACTTTGATCTCAGGTTTTATTAAATTAAACGTGTGTTAGAAACAACGACACTTTGATGTTTCTGCCTCGGTGGTGCAGATACAGATACAGTACTTCATGACATTCAAATGAACCGACAAAAGCACCTGTGATTTAACACTGCATTATTTCCTGTTCAACTGTTACATTTACATTTTAATGTTAAAGAAGGCAAACGGTGAAAATGAGCTTATTTTACTTAAATGGAATGAGGTAAAAAAATATTGTAAGTAAAAAGAAGAAATATAAGTTTTACAGTGAGTGTAATGGTATTAACTGGTACTATTAACTTTTGTATTGTATCGATACAGAGATGAGTTAGAATCTGTTCACTGCTCCTCTCACTGATGGACACCAAAGTCCATAGAGAAAATCGGCGATTTAAGCCCAGGACCAATTTGCCTTGTACACTCCTGCCTCTTGTGGTCAGTTTAAGGATTTCAAATGCAGAATTAAAAAGAACACATTCTGTAAAATCACACCATAAACAGTTTACACTGACCCAACAGCACAGTCAGGGACTGTTCAGTCAAATCGCCTGTTTCTAAAAGAAGATAATACTTCACTGATCAAATCCTGTTAGGATTCTTTTCCCATCAAGTCCAGATTATCTTAATCTGAATTAAATATTCTGACATAAAGACACTGACCAATCATTCCTGGAAGGGTGGCTCGTTTGGAGGCGGGATTTTCACACCTGATGGTTCCACTCCCCAGATGTCACTGGCGTACTGGGCGATGGTCCGATCACTGGAAAACTTTCCTGATGCTGCAATGTTCCGGATCACCATCCTGGTCCATTCTCTGGGATTCTGCACTCAAACAAACAAACAACAAAAACAAGTACGTTAGTATTGACGTGTTGACAGTGACTACTGAAGATACAAAATAAAAGGTAGAAGTTGATTGGTCACCTTGTAGAGTTTGCTGACTCGCTCCTGACACTGAACGTACGCTTCAAAGTCAGCAAACACTTTAAACCTAACGAAGAATGAGAATTTAACGAAGCACAGGTGGGCGGATGAAAACTGTGTCAAACCCGTGGTATTGCTACCTGTCATGGTTCAACAGCATGTGGACCAGGTCCTGGAAGAGTCCTGGTTGTGCAGGACTGAAGAAGCCGTTCTGGATCTGGTCCACAGCCATTTTCAGTTCTGGCAGACGTTCGTAGTATTCTTTAGCGTTGTAGCTGTAAAATAACAGAACACATTCAAAGAAAACCAGTCACTGGTTGATATAGAAAGTTTAACAAAAACGAGGTAAAAGGAAAGGGATGTGAAACAAGTCCTGAATAAGAGTGAAGACAAATGTCCTCCTCACCCCTTCCTGTCCATCTCCTCCACTTCATTCACACTCAGTCCAAAGATGAACAGATTGTCTTGTCCCGCCTCCTCCGCCATCTCCACCGTGGCTCCGTCCATGGTACCGATGGTTAGAGCACCGTTCATCATGAACTTCATGTTTCCTGTTCCAGAAGCTTCTGTTCCTGCAGTGGAGATCTGCTCCGAGAGGTCTGCAGCTGGAATCACTGGGGGAGGCGAGAAAAAGGAGAAGATAAAATCGTGACCATAAAAAACAACGAACAACCGCACGAAGACTCCGCCCCTCACCTTTCTCAGCCAATGAAACTCTGTAGTTTTCCAGAAAAATCACTTTCAGCTTGTCATTCACTGCTGCGTCGTTATTGATCACATGACCCACAGATGTGATGAGTCTGATGATCAGTTTGGCCATGTGGTAACCAGGAGCCGCCTGCAGGAGAGACAGAGCAGATGAGGCTCCGTCCACAACTCACTTATTCACCTCTTCATTCATTAAGTCACATGATCAAATTCATGCCTTTCCTCCAATCATTATCGTCCTGGGGAAAAAGTCTTGGCTTGGTGCGGACTTTAGTCCTGTGGAGACAGAGACAGCAGTAGCCAGCAGGGGGCAGCAGCAGCATCATATCAGTGCAGTGCGGGCGGTGAGAGGAGGCTTACGGTTGTAGAGCGTGATGGCGTGCAGACAGTTGAGGAGCTGTCTCTTGTACTCGTGGATCCTCTTCACCTGGACATCAAAGATGGAGTCCAGATTTATCTGCTGCTGCGTTACCTTCTGCAGATAGGAGGCGAGGTTGAGCTTGTTCTCCTGCTCAAAGATGTAGAGTAGAGGTTAGAGGGACAGATGACGGAGGGAACGGAGGGACCAATCAGATGCCTGTGTTCAAACCTGTTTAACTTTGGCCACTTGTCTGATGAAGATTTCATTGTCAACAAAGGGGAGAAGCTTCTGCAGCTGCTGCAGGTCGCTATGGAAACCGTCTCCAATTTTCTGGAGGACAAAAGACAAAGGACACGTGCTGCAGAAAGTCTGATCAACATTTGAAGACAGACGACATAATACTTAAATAAAGTTTTGGTTCCTCACAGAGTTGTTCACTCTCTCACGTTTGTCCCGTTATTTTCATGTTTTCATCTAAACCACATGACAAAGAGCAACAAGCCTCAGGGGTCAGGCAGGTCATACCTCAGTGATGATGTCAGAGAGGGCGGGATTACAGAGCAGCAGCCAGCGCCGAGGAGTGACACCGTTGGTTTTATTCTGGAACTTTTCCGGGTCCACTTCATAAAAGTCTTTGAACCTGCAGGAACGACCGAGAACATCCTGCTTCAGAAAGTAAACAAACGGAACAGAAGAGACCAAAAAGGGTTCACGGGGTTGAGTCTCCACTCACACTGTCTTCCTGACCAGTTCTGAGTGAATGCGAGCGACACCATTGACGGTGTGAGATCCAACCACACACAGATGAGCCATGTTGATCCTCTTGGGGTCGCTCTCCTCGATTAAAGACATGCGGCGAAGACGGTCAACGTCCCCAGGAAACTTTGCTGCAATTCTCTGTGACATTAAAAACACAGGAACACATTCAGGGGAAGTACCTCCATGTGTCACGTCATCCCTGTATATTTTTTTTGTCCCTCCATTAGTGTCCCTCTTACATCCAAGTGTCTGTGGTTGATGTCGTAGATGATCAGCAGATGTCTGGGCAGCAGTTGTTCAAACATGAAGACAGGCCATCGTTCCAGAGCCTCAGGCAGAACTGTGTGGTTGGTATACGCGCAGGTCCGACATGTGATGTCCCAGGCCGGGTTATTGATACACACACACACACACACACATCAGTGTGATGTAAAGGTTCAGATGTAAATTCACATTGTCACATTACTCTTCCTCACTTTGTCCCATTCCAGTTTCTCTATATCCACCAGGATCCTCATCAGCTCAGGAATGGCCAGAGCTGGGTGGGTGTCATTCAGCTGAATGGCCACCTGAGGGAGCAGGAGAGCACAACAAAAGAATAAAAAAGCTGCTCAACCACCGTTTACATCAAAAACTTTGACCAGATTATGTCTGGGTTTTTTTTCTAAACCTTCTTTTGACTCTTGTCGTCTCACCTTCTCTGGAAACATTTCAAAGGACGTCCTGACTGGGTCTCTGCTGCCAATCTTTGAGGACTTGAACCTGCGGACAACATCCTGCAGCGTTGCTGCCACGAGAAAGTACTCCTGCTTTAGACGCAGCTCCTTCCCCTCAAAGAACTGCAGAAGGAGAGAGGGTTTATCAGACAGTGAGGACAGTCAGAGACAGACAGAGAGACAGAGCCTCAGTACGGCTGCCTCACATTGTCGTTGGGATACAGGACTCTGGTAATGTTCTCAGCCAGGTTCCTGTCCAGAACAGCTTCAATGTAATCACCAACATTGACTGTAGACGCAGTGACACAAGTGATGTCAGCAGATGTCTGTGATGTCATCATTACAAAAGTCTGTGTGTGCTTACAGTTGTGTAGTTTGAAGTCGTTGGGAGCTCTCGCCGACCAAAGCCTCATGGTGTTCACTGTGTTGTTACGGTAACCAGGGATAGGTGTGTCATAAGGCATTGCTAGCACCACCTGTACAACCACACACACACACAGAATGAATACAGTCAGTGTGTCAGTGGATGTCCTCATCCTCAAAGGGAGGTGTGGACTCTCACCTGAGTGTCCACCCATTTGTGGCCGGCGGCCGTCGTCTCCACATGACCGTAAAAATGAATGGGCAGCATGTACTCAGGCCGCGCCTTCTCCCAGGGATTTCCATACCTCAGCCAATCATCTGCCTCCTCCACCTGTGAAGTAAAATTGCATGTTAGACAATCACACAGCTTTTCTGTATTTTTTTATTTTGACAATATTGTCTGCAATTGTGGACTGTACTTGTCGTTGTGAGCAGGATGTTAGCATGCTATTAGCTATCATATTGTAATTAATGTTAATAATGCATGTGGTTTGTGACTACTCTATTAATAAAGGTGTTTGTGTCATGTTTGTTAGCATGTTGTATCCTCGCTGTGTGTTTTTCTGCACTTAGCATGTCGCTAACGAACCTGACAGCCGTTGCGAATTTTCTGGTTGAATATGCCGTACTCGTAGCGGATCCCGTAACCGTATGCTGCCAAACCGAGGGTGGCCATGGAGTCCAGGAAGCACGCTGAGGGACAGGAAGTGGTTCTGTTTTATATCTGTTGGTCAATTATCACTCCTTCATCAAAGACCACGTTCACATGGTTTACTTAGTGGTGTCCTTAATAACATTAGTATCGAGGGTGACTCATACCCGCCAGTCGTCCGAGACCTCCATTACCAAGACCAGCATCCTCCTCTATGTCTCTCAGCTCCTCCATGTCCAGACCCAACTCCAAACATCAACATACACAGTTTGACAATAGTTAATTTTCTTCTTTACTACTTTGTTTTTCATTAAAACACAAATGTGTTGACAGAGAGGAGATAAATGAGGTCATTGCTGCTGGTTGACTTCAACTAGTCATTACCTGGTAAACAGCCTCATCACAGGAATTTTGGAGACCCAGGTTGATCATGGTGTTCTGAAGGGCTCGACCCATGTAGAACTCCAGGGACAGATAATAAACTCTCTGGGGAAACAGGATTACAACATATATCAGAAGGAAGACCGAGCCTGGATCCTGAAACCAACATTTTTGTTTGGACTTCAAACAAAACCTATTTAAAAATTGAATTCATTTTAAATATTGAAAATGATTAAAATTCGTTTTAAACTGTGAGGTAAATGACATTAGTTTGGTTCTCCTACTAAAGAGAATTGTCATAAATAGGTCAATGGTTATAAGCAAACTTAACTCCATTGTTGACACTTACGCATTGAACATTTGCTTGTTGTTTAATAAATAAAAGTCTCATATACTAAATAATTTAATTTATTATTTTATTGAATGAACACCCAGAGAAAAATCGGCAAACGAATCCAAACTAAGTATGTTCCTAATCTGGGAACGTCTTGTCGTTAATTGTTCTGTACATTCATGCGGATGTTTGCAGAAACTAACCAGGAAGTTCTTAACCTTAATTTCCTGCTAAAGCAAAACAACGTTTAAAAGTTCAGGAAGTTCTTAACCTTAATTTCCTGCTAAACCAAAACAACGTTTAAAAGTTTGCTTTTTGACTAATTCACGTGCTGAACCAAAACACACAGGACATTTAATCAATTTATTTCTATAGTGGTTAGGATTGGATAGACATTTGGGAATTCTTAAAATTCATATTTAAATAATATTTTTGCACCGACATCGGTACAGCTGCACCACAGGAGAGCAGACATTGTATGCAGGCTCTGCTGCTCCTACCTTTGGGTCTTTTTCATAGTAGTACTGCTGGGTGCGAATCCAACGGCCCACTAGATGATCCCAGACGGTGTGAGCAAGGGCAAAATAGTAGTCCCGGGGCGTCGCCACGTTTCGGTCCTTTACCACAGTGAAATGAAGGTGACGGTTAAAACTACGCTTGACTTCTACGACGTCCCCCAGCCCCGCTATTTCGCGAACGCTAATCTGTTTCCGCTTCTCCTGGTCGCTCAGTGGCGCCGCCATGTTTAGCTGCAGCTGCTGTGGGAGTGTGGCGTAAGGAGACCGGACTCCTGCTGTCAGAACAGAGCACAACACCTGACAGGTGGACCAGGAAGAACACACGCTGCCACGCCCACCCACAGGAATTTCAAATAGGGCGGGACCAAGTAAGAGTTGGTATTTAGAGAGAAAGGTATTTTGTTCGTAGGAAATCTCACTCTGTTCCTGTTTCTGAGTTCACATGTAAGTCGAGATAGAGACCTGTTAAAAACAAAATTCAACATACACTTACCAAATATCACTATTGAACACAAAAAAGAAAAACACACTTTGTTTTACACTGAGATCGGTTGAGCCAATCACTGATTTGGAATCGGTTTTCAGTAGTTATTGATTCACTTAACTTTGGAAGGCTCGTGCACTTCATAGGTGGTTTATTGCGAAAGATTCAGGTGAGCACTTTTCTATGAATTAAATGACATGTAAAACACATGGAACATGAATAATTACCGAATTACTTTCCGTTGACAAATGGATTGTAACTGCGCAACAAACATTTTTTGGTAACTTTTGTTTTGGAGCGTTTCTCCTGAGTGACCGTCTTTTGCCATAGACGAGCTTTTGCTCATTGCGTCTTGACGTCACTTGCCAAACGTCAGCCGTGTTCCTGGTTTCAGAATAAAACGCCAGCAGTTCAGCATCAATAAAAGCACGTTGTTTTTAATCGATTTTAGCGAGGATTTGGCGTGGGTTGTGGTCTTCTAAAACGGCGTGACCATATTGTAGCTTGCAGCTTGTTCAGGTAATGTTAATAGCTGTTTATCGTTTTAAAACTCTTCACTTTATAAGTTTAAATACATTTCGTGGCCCTGTCCAATACGTATAGTGCATGTTTACACTGCAGGTAGACGATCTATTCTAGATTGTTTGATTCTGTTGGTCTGTGAGGCGCTGCCGACCCGCAAATCCCCCTTCTTATTCTTTTATGTCCCTGAAGTTTTTTTTTTTGTCAACTATTGTTCTGATTTTTAAACTTGTCTTCAACTGTGAGTGTTTTGGTTACATTTTTGTTGTGTTAAATACATACATGAATTTGAACTGACACTAAATCCCGCAGGAGCTGATTCAAATGAATACGATCTGTCTCCTGGGCTATTGTTGTCGACTTTCCTACAATACCACACTGTCTTAGGTTGTTTTGTTTTGTTTGTTTGTTTTTGTCTTTTAGTTGAAGTCTTCTACTCTTGTTTAGTCCCCCACCACCTCCTCCGAACTGACCTTTTGTCATGTCATCTTCTGTCTTGTGTCGTTTTCAGCCAGGATGTCCACCACGTCTCAGAAACATCGGGACTTTGTTGGTGAGCCAATGGGTGAAAAATCGGTGACTGCTCTGTCAGGAATTGGGGAGGTTTTAGGGAAGAAGCTGGAGGAGCAAGGATTTGATAAGGTTAAAAAAAAAAACAAGTATTAAAACATGTAGTATGTGCTGCCACTGGAGCCAGTTTCACATGTTCTGTCTTTTCCACATGTTAAAAAAAATTAAGGTGACATTTTTTTATTATGATTATTTTCCCCCAAATCTGCTCAGGCCTACGTCGTTCTCGGTCAGTTTCTGTTACTGAAGAAAGACACCGAGATGTTCACCGATTGGCTGAAAGACACCATCGGGGCAACTTCTCGACAAGCGGTTCCCTGTGCTCAGTGTTTGAAGGAGTGGTGTGACGCATTCCTTTAGGGCCCGACCTGCACCTTATTAACGACCACACCCCTCCACCTCCTCCATATACACGCTACCAGCTTCACATGTCGACATCAGTGCTGGTGGTTTTTGTTTAAACACCTGCTGCTGTTCACATGTGTGGTCAGTCGGTGGTCAACGTTTACAAGAGTTTACAAGAATAATAAAAGCCATTTTCCATTTGAAACATTTTTCTTCTTTTTTTTTTTTTTGGAATCTTTGCCTTTGAGACTTGATATTCTTGGCGTCCCTTTGTGGCAGTCATTGTGGCAAATCATTTTATAGAGACTGAGTCACATGTCAAGGATGATATGGCAAAAACAAGAAGAACTTGGATGAGACTTCCCTGAAGTGACAAATGGGGAAACAAACAAATGTGGAGGAGCTCGTGAAAACCATTACACAAGGATATGTCAGAATTTGACAAAAACTGTCACACACGACTGTTGGCTGTTATTTAGATGTTAACAGTATCACAAACGCTAGCATAGTGTTGATTCAGTGTCATGTTTTTTTATTAATTCCCTGAAATCCTATCCTTTAATTCCCTGCCCTTTGCTAACTTTTTAATAAGAACAAATACTATTCATTTAGTGTAAATAACCAAGTTTTATTCTGTAAATCAACTTTTTTCTTATCCACCTGAAACTATTTTTGGCACCGTAATGAAACAATCAGATTTGCTGTCGATTCAAATGTATGAAACCAGTAGAAAAAAAGCACTCTCCCTCCCCAAATAAAATAAAACAAAATAAACACATTCACTGTTTTCCTTCAAGTCAACCAGATTAACTTCAAAGACTTCAAATACCCTACAAATACAAAATGAATTTTAAAACCTGACAAAGAGTGTTCAGATCAGTGACGTCACAGGAATATAGAGCAGCAGTACAGTACCAGACCCAAATGTCACATGACCCAGGAGGAGTAATAAAAGTGCCAACGTCTCTGCCAACGGTTGGCAGTGATGTCATCAGTGTGATCGGAGCAGGTGTAACAGTTTGACTAAGACTAGAACCAGGATTAAGATTAGAATCACCCCAAAGTCTCCATGTAGTGGATCGTGGCCCCCAGGGCCCAGCTCGTCTCCATGTCATTAATGGTCCTGGCCAACTGTAACACACACACACACAGTGACATCATCACGATCAGATCTCAACAGATTTTTCAGTTTTTTAAACTTTTTTTAATATTTTAATTTTTGAATTCTGAATAGAAATTACACCAAATTATACCAAATAAGCTATGAAATACTAATTGTGTGGGCCAAGTCCACATGCATCTGGACTAGAAATTTGAGTGGTCCACATCCAGATAATTTAGGTCCAGGTCCACATCAGTCAGGTCTTACCTTCAGCTCTTTGTCCAGAGGGAACCCAAGCTCTTGCAGCAGGACTGAGATGTAGAGTAGGTCCAAACACAAGGACGGGATTTTAGGTGGACTTGTGACCAGATTTCCACACACTGCAATAAGAGCCAGTCACAGGACAGAAAATATGTCACAGGTCATCATGCAGTAGATCAAAAGACGTTTGCTCGAAATATTGAATCCCTAGTTTGATTATTCGTTGTTGAATCAGTTCAGAGGATTGACCAGCAGGTGTCAGTGTCTCACCTTTTTGAGCTGCTGTGGTGTAATCTGAAACCCTTAAAGTTCCTCCTTTCTTCAGATCTGAACACAGTGACATCGTCAAAGAATATGACAAATTACGTCAACAAATCACAGGTGACCTTGTGTAACCTGGAATTTTGATCCCACCCTCACTGTCAATCACTCACCAATGAGGTTGAGCTCAGCTGCGAGGTCATAATAGTAGGAGAAAGCGTAGAAGTCGAGGTCAGCAGCCTCAGACACCTTCGTCACCTTCTTGTATAAAAACTTCTCCATCTTGGTGCGACATGGTTCATAAGCAGGTTCCCCTGTAAACATGCAGACGCAAGGGGCGTTGCTGGGTCACATGACACATCAAAACCACAGCAGCCAATGAGAGCGCAGCAGTGGACCTTACCTGCTTTCTGTCCTTTAAGAGTGTAAATGATGTTAGCCTGCTCAAATGTGGTCTCAAAGTCTGGTGACATGCAGATACTGGTCACGACCGTGCTGCCTTCAGGATACACACAGTACACAGGAGTCAGAATCTACTTTTTTATTTTTATTAGATGGGTGTATGCATACATACCAAAGTCAGGGTTTTCTAAGATGGCCCTTCGGACCGACACCAGACCCAGACCCAGGTAACTGCAAGAACACAGCACTGGCGTCAGCATCAGGAAACATAACTGTTTACATGTGTGTCTGAGAGTGAACAAATTCTAAAAAGATAACAAATCAAAGTTCATCCTTAAGATGTCTGAACAAGAATCCATGTGTTTTCTGTTTTTAAAAATAAAATAAAGGAGGACGGGTGTGTGTACCTGTGCGCATAGAGTGTGTGTGTTTTATTAAACACCTGGAAGGATCTGATGTCATCAACAGGTGAGATCTGGATGGTTTTCTGCTCAGGAATAATGTGCATGTAAAAAAACACAGATACAGATTTCTGCCAAAGTTGACGACAGTGTTTACATTTAGCTTCAATATAAACCTGCTGCTGTTACTGCAGCCAATCATTCGGCCTCTTTCTGTCCGTACCTCATCCTTTGGGCTGAAGGTGATCTGAGTCGAACCTCCGCCCAAATCCAGTATCCCCACTGTGGAGGAGTCGGAACTCTGAAGACCACCTTGGGAAAAGAGTGGGAGAGCATGGACGTGAGAGGGACAGTCAGAAAGATAAAGAGAGAGGGAGAGAGAGGGAGAATAACAATGTCAGTGAGTGTGTCTGGGGGATTAAAAAAAGAAGAAAAACAATATAATCCAATAACAGGTAATCAACATTTCTTGTCTCCACAATAATCTGGTTTTCTAAAACACACGCACAAACATACACACATAAATACTGTCTTAGTGTGTTTTTGTAGAGGCTTTATTTTTACTTAGTACTAACACTACCATCACTGTGAGGACATTTATTGGCAAAATGGATAGACTGTCCACAGAATGGAGAAGATATAGACTTGATACTGCCCCATGTGGTCATCTTGAGTCACTGAGGTAACATGAACAAAGAATTCCAAACACTAAATTCACAAAATGACATTTTCAAATGTGCCAATGGTGGAGGCGGAGGATCATCTACTTCTGTTTTTTTATTTAAAAACTGATTTTCTCTGTGAAAAGGTGAAGGGTCTCTGAGCAGACATGGAGTCAAATCACACAACTTACATTAAATTCTCTTTTCTTTAAAAAAAAAGTAAAGTCCTGGGGCAGAATTCTTACCTGTGAGGAAGTTGACGGTGATCCAGGCAGAAATTCCTGAACAGACAATAAACAGGTTAGTCCTTCTGGTTGTTCCACACTCTTAACTGTAGGGCTAGTAGTAGCTGGTTAGCTGTCTTTCAATATGTTGTTATCATTTCTATTAGGAAAAATTGTTTAGTGAAACTATAATGTCCGGAAATCACTTGTTATTATGACTGAAGCTCTCATTAGAGCAAAAAGTGTTTGGAACAGAAACTGAACACAGCTACTACGATAGGAAAAATTGAAGCCTAGCTGTGAGTCACTGGTTAGCCAGTGCTTTTTAGTGATAACGGAAAATGTCATGTTTTTCCAGGGAGAAAGATGATTTACTATTCATTCACATGCATCAACAGCCACCTTTGACCTCTGACCTGCACTAGTGGATGATTAGAACCTCTGATAAAAACTGTATCATAGGAGCTTTAGCATAAAACTCTCGGGCTGGGATGCTAAGAAGCAATTTTCATACTAAACAAACAAGTCGGCTTTAGGTCCCAGCTAAACACCGGCACTTAGCACACACTCACACATCTGCATTGACTATAAGTCGTTGCCACTCAGGACGTCAGCGCGTGCCGCCTGTAATCTCTCCGAGCCTAAACTGCTGTGCTAACGAGGCTGATGGAATCCGGTTAGACTGGTTCCATTAGTGAGGAAAAGTGGAGCTGGATAAGACATTAATTCAGTGATCAGTTAAAAAAAAGACATTTCTGGCTCAGTAGAGAAGTGGACAGGGTGGGGTTAATCTCACTGTGTGCCCCCCCCCCCCCCCCCCCGCCACACTCACGCCTAACCCTCCTTAAC